AAGCGCGTGGCCCCGCAGGACTTCGCCGAAATCATGAAGCGGCGGGAGGAAACCCATCACTTGGGTGAGTAGGGCTGGGGGGATGCGACACCCTCCTACTGGCACCTCACAGCCCTGCTGAGCATCACTGCCCTCTCCTCGCAGCCGACCACGCTCCCCATGGCTCCCAGGCGGATCTCTTCCCCGGCACCTGGTACCTGACACGGGTGGATGACAAGTACCGCCGGGAATATGCCAGGAAGCCCATCTAGGGGGGACCAGAGCGGTGAGCCCTAGGGAGGGGGATGCTCTACTCCCTGCCGGCATCCCTGCTCATCCCCAAATCCGGGGCTGGCTTCCACGGATAACCTCACCTTGGATGGCTGGGAAGTGGCTGGTGGCACTTGAGGCCCTGGAGCTGGTGGAGACAGTGGCACTTCCTGCATGAGCCTGGTTGGCACGGGGGAATAAAGGCGCGGATGAGAGGGGGCTGCAGCCCAGCTTTGGCTCCTGGTCACGAGTGGTCCCCTCCGGCCCCAGGGCCCTTCCCTCAACCACCTGTGGGCTGGATCACAGCCCCTTAGGGGATTTATTCCATGGGCACCCTACACAGCTGCCTGTCCTGTTGGACATGTGCCTCAGTACCCCTGTTTCCCCAGGGTGGGAGAGTGCCCTGACATTTTGAGGGAGCCAAGTAAACCCCAGCTCGCCAGTCTCCAGCTTGGGGGTGGCAAGATGCCATTTTCCCCGTGACGTTGGTAAATTGAAACATCCCCTTGGGAATACCCAGGGGCAGAATGGGGCAGGCAATGCAGGGGCTCATGGGAGGGCTCAGCCCCCATTGGAGCACTGCCTGCTCTCTGGGCCGTGTCCTGGCAAGGGACCATGGCCGGATGGGACCTTGGCGGGGCCACAGCAGCTGCAGAGCACTTTGTACCCTTGAGCAAACAGCAGCGGGGCCAGAGGGGCTGGGGGGCAGGAGGGACAGAGCCTGAAGGAGCTCTGGGGTTGAGGACAAGGGACTGCAGAGACAAGGCATCACACGCTCTCTCCTCCTGGGCCCTTTATTGAGCACGGGGCCACCCCAAGCCCAGCATGGGGGCTGGGGGCAGCCAGGTGCAATCCTCCCATGGCTGGAGGGAGTCCGGGTGCTGCGGCCATGGGGAGAATCCTTGCTGGCACTCAGGGTTTACAGGTGGAGCTGGAAGACCTCCGTGACCCGTGACTTCAGCTCTCCGAGGTCAGACAGGGGTGCCGAGAGCCCCACGACACTCCACTGCTCCCCCGCCACCGTGCCAGAGCTGTGGTAGGACTGGAGCTGGACCCCTGCCTTCCCCAGCAGCCCTGAAGAGGAGGAAAGGTGTTAGGGGCTGCAGGCTGCACCCCCACCCCAGCACCCAGTGGGTAGCAGGGCTCTGCCCACCTCAACACCCTTCAAAAGGTTTACAATGTCATTCCTTTCCCCCACCCCAAGTCCTTTGCTTCAAGCCCCTAACCCCTTGCCAAAGCCTCCCCATCCCTGTCTCTCCATGCAACATCTGCCCCCTCCCTGCTGCAGCAGGGGCTTGGCTCCGAGGTGGATGCGGGGTCCCTCCAGGCTGCAGCCCCTGCTCGGGGGTGATGTGGGAGCTCACCGGTGAGCGTGGGTAGTGTGCTGGGCTCGGAGGCTTTGGCTCTGTAGATGAGGAGGGGGCCAGCCAGTGGGGCTGGCTGCTTGAAGGTGGCCCCATTGAGCTCCTGCAGCACTGGGGTGCTGCCCTGCACTGTCCCCACCACCCGGTGTGGGGTGCCTTGCAGGGACACCTGCAGCACGCCGGTGCTGCTGTCGGGCTTGGGGGCCACATCGCCGTGGGTGGTTGTGACCTGCCAGAGAGATGCAGCTCTCAGCACCCAGGTCCTGCACGTGGCAGGGCATGGGGGTGTCCTCAGAAGCCACCTCAGGGAATGCCCCCCAGCCTGAGATCTGCATTAGCAGCCCCACAGAGCATCCCCGGGAAGGATGGGGTCTGGGTGTGCCAGGCTAATGCATGGAGACCCAGTTGTCCACACACCTTCAGCCCAGCCTCCTGGGCCAGCAGCAGGGCATTCACCAGGGTCACCTCCTTCTGCGCCCCTCCAGCCAGCATGCCCGCAGCTACGGCGGGCGTCAGGTAGCTCCCGGCCTCCCGCAGGGGTGTCCCTGGGGCACAGGGAGGAGGCAGAGAATGGATGGGCCAGCAGCAGAGAGGCCTGCCTTGCACTGAAGCAGCCAACCTGGAGCTGGTCCTTCCACCCGCCCATCCATACACCCATCCATACCCCGACGCTCCCATTTTCCCATCATCCTTCCATCCCACAATCAACCACCCTTCTGTCCATCCCTCCTCCCACCTGCCCAGCCTGGTGAGTCCCTGCTGCACTGCCCACCCATCGGGGTCCCTGCAGCAAGACACGGGGTGCAGCCTGCCCAGCTCACCTAGGGTGCAGACCTGCACGCTGCCCTGGGCTTGCTTGCCCGCTGCGCGCAGCACCGTGCCCAGGGCCCTGGCCAGGGTGATCCAGGGCTTGGTCTGGGGTGCGAAAGCCTTGCTGAGAGCCTGCCCGTTGACCTGTGAAGAGGAGTGGGGTGAGCGATGAGAACCCACCAGCGAGTGCGCAGGGTTGCTCCCAACGCATCCATGTTTTACAAACAGGGAAACTGAGGCATGGAGGTCAGGTGCCCAGTGGGGGGACTCACTACGCCGGCCAGCCCCTTCCCCGTGGCCATGTCCACGATCTGCACGGCGATCTCCTTGCCACAGCGGCTCTGCGCCTCCCGCGTGCTGGCGCCCAGGTGTGGGCAGCAAATGACGTTGGGGTGGTTCACCAGGTCGCGGTCCCTCGGGGGCTCCTGCCAACACAGCCCCATCCCGCTGTCAGCCCCCCGCACCCACCCAGGAGCCCAGGGGGGCATTTACCCCCTCTTCCCTTGTAAGGAGGGGAGCTGGGGCAGGGCTGTGCTCACCCCAGTCCCGCAGGCTTTGCAGGGCTGCCATGGCCTGGCTTGGGCAGAGTTAAGGTGATGCTAAGCCAAAGCCAAGCTCAGGGTGTCCCTGTGGCCCTGCTTACCTGCGTGAAGACGTCGAGGGCGGCCCCGCCGCACTGCCCCGACTGCAGCGCCCGCAGCACAGCGCCCCTGTCCA